TTAAAATAGGGGAAAATATCTGAAAATTTCAGCAAAATGTGATTTTCATATTATTTAGTAATTTTAACTTACATCCTATTTATCGAAACTTCAGTTAATTTAATTGCCTATCAGAGTTTATAAGGACAAACTTGATGTGTAAAATACTGCCACGTGAAATACTTGCCCCAAATTGCTGTTGAAAATGAAAGTTCTTCAAAGTTCATATAAACAATGTAGCCCTGCTGTTGTCAATCAGGCGACAAGTGTGTGGGGAGAAGTGCCATAAGTGATGACTCTGTAACGTGCCGGGGCTGATACGAATCCCCCAAATGAGAATTGTGATCACAGTATGATGAATTAGAAGACTGCAAAACACACACCCCTACTTAAAGTCTTTTTGTTTGTTTGTTTAACTATCACTTTAGGATAAACAAATTTGAATTTCAAACAAAGAACCGGGGGATTTAAGAATAAGAAAGCGCCTATCATCATTCATGACCTAGTTAGGGACTGCCCCATAGAGCTTCTCTACTGATGTAGTTGACCAAGAGTCCAGGAAGGGTAGGAGCCTCTGAAAAATACGGAAAAACACTTCAATGCACAAGGACTTGTTCCAAGGCCATGTGACATCTCTTAGCTTCTGCTACCTCCAGCTGGGAGCTGAACAAGGTGGAGCCAGAGAAACTGTCCTGTATCAGGAATGCGGAACTAGGCAAAGCTACTCTGGGCGGTTTCTCTGTCTTTGAGCCAATGACAGCATCCATAGATATTAATTTTCTCCTGAGGGAAACAAAGCAGGTCCTTGATTCTGCATGACCTTTAAGATTGCTTCCAGATCTAGCAAGCATTCCACCTCCCTAGAAAATGTGCCCAGCTTTTCACGGAACTTCCATGGGTGTCTTTAAACTATATTGCCTCCTCTATCAGAATAACAGCAGAAGAAATGATACAAGACCCACACTCTTGAGTAAGAAAAGGATTTATGGTAATTCCATGCAGAAAATGTGGGCAATCTCTCAAATGCATTTGTAGAGAATGGGTACACCTTAGATTGCTCTCTCCCCACTGATAAAATGTATCTTCATGATGAAATTCAAAAGAGGCTGACCACATAAAAGCAATTCTCATATTCCTGAAGATTCATTTTACTATAGGAACTTTGTTATACATTTCTCTTGCCTCAAAATTTTTTCAAACTGAAGGAAGCAGATTTGTTGGTGATGTGTTGTTTTCCTGTACTAAGTTAGTATGAGGTGACTCTAGTGAAGAAGGCTAAGTTGGTGACACAGGACAAGGGTGAGAAGAGTCCGAGTCTTACTCTGGACATTTCACTGGATTCTTTGTCATTTTATCTAAATTGTGGTGTTTCTAATTGGCCACCTCCTCCTCTATCCTCTCCATCAATTTCATAGTCTTCAAATAAATAGTCCAGGAATTTCACACACTAAATTTGTGTGGCATTTCACTGATTGTTGTAACTATTACTGTATACCCGCTGGTAAATTTTTGAGAAGGCTCTGGTTGGGAAATTGTGAAGTATAGTGAATGATTGCTAAAATAATTTGAAATTGCAAGATATAGATAGGTTAATAGAGCTGGAGAAAAATGTATAATTTTCACTTTGAGAAGGTTTTAGTATATATATATATATATATATATATATATGTTTTTTTTTTTTTTTAAACATGAATTGTTGAAGGCCTAAATCTCAGCCCCATTGAATGTGTATTGCCCATTTACTGTGCTGGCTATAATAATCCAAACTGGACTAAAATTTTTTAATAAGAATATAATTTGTTTTTACTGCAGCACTAATGGTCAATTTTAGTAAATATCTTAAATGATTTAGCAATGAGGGTACCCATGCTTTCTTTTCTTTTACAAAGTTTTCTGAAGGTATTAGCTGAGGAATGAGAAGACATTAATTTCTATTTTTAATATCTACTATAAAGATACCACATGCAATAAACTGGGTCTGTAGAAACTACTGCTAGCAATATAAAGTTATTGACCAGTCCACGGTTTCTGTACTGGATAGAAGGTGTAAGTGGTTCACCATTTTATAGGTGATGCAGAGTTTTCAAACATAATTGCCCAATGAAGACAAGGAAGGATTGTATAAGATATGAGGATTAGTACTCTAGTTAATATTTGGTGAGGAAGGTGAGGTTTACTTTTAATAAATATATTTTAATTTATTTCACATGCTCTATCAAACAGCTTCTTCCCTAATATATAAGTAAATATATAATTCTTATTTTATTAAATTCAAATTGTGGCAGTGGCAAGAACCTACTGATTCATAAATATTTGCAACTTGCCTAAATAAATTAATTCTGAGTGCCTATTGTTTGCTCCCTAAGTGGAAGATGTGTGTACTTTATAGTTAATACAGTTAAATATTGGATCAAGGTTATTTTGTACTTGCTGCCTTTTAACTATAATGTCATGTGCTGGTCGTGTGTACATTAATTACTATTACCAGAGGAAAACTGGGGACATAAATCCCCTCATGTAATCTTTCTGTGAAATGTATACATGCTCCAGGCTTTCTCTGGTGAGCAGCTGGTATAATTTATGCTGGGTTCCTTCCTCATCAGTCACTTCAAACCTGTTACAGAAATGTTGACCATTTTCATTTATCTATAGAAATCTAGATGGAACCCCCACTGAATCAATTTCAGAAGGAGCCAAAAGATGTCTTTGGTTCACAGCAATGCCTCTTCCCCATGAAAAAGTCTCATAGAGTAAAGATACCATATGATCTCTAAAGGGAGAAATGACTTGAAATTGCAAATCCATCTTCAGTCAAAAGCCTGCAAGCTCAGGTGAGTTGCATACACAGCCATGACCATTGTAGTTGCTCCAGTGGAATTGATTTTATGGAGTTTCAGGAGACTGGTACAGTAGTAACTGTCCATCTTTGGTTTTTGTAGAAGATTTGTCTCCTTCTCAATTTATTATGACGAACCCTGCCTGGTGTCAACCACACTCGGCTAATACAAATTCTCCTGCTGTTCATTCAGCAGTTTGGACTTAGCTACATTTGTAAGTATATTTGGGAGGAGCATGCTGGAATAAAACTCCAAAATGTACCATGAGCTATTTTACAGCATTAATCTCAGTGTGATGAAACTGTATGAAAGACTTAGGAAGCAAATTCCTCTCTCGCACACTCTTTTTATGATCCTACTTTCAGAATGAACTGGCCCAAGTTTCTGCCTGATCTTTGGTCTTCCTCAATGATGGTCACTGGTAAGGATCAGAACCGATTGGTGCTCCTGAAGCAATTTCATGTAGATATTTATCTCCTACCAAATGGAAACAAGAGCAGACTCATCTAATTAGCAGAATCCCCCCTGGACTCGCTGTCTGTGCTTCTGGCACATTAATAAAGCTGAGATGTGAATCAGGACCCCTGAGGGCCTTTCCCCACCAGTCGCTTGTAGAAACTTGTGGGGTCTAATCAACAGCTCGACTGAGTGAGCCGGTGAAAGGCCCACTAGGAACTGTGCTCAAACAGTCTCAGCTGGGAGTTGCTCTGGTGTGTTTGACAAACGGCATTTCAAAAGCAAACGCCATGTGCTAAAGAAATTCAGAGGTGTTTAACCCTGAAAGTTGAGATTTCAGGGAAGGCTGTGTAGTTGGAAGGAACCAGTCATCTGCTCCTCTGCTGTGTCAGCAAAATTCACAGGGCAGAGGGTTTGGGTAATTTTCTTTTTATCCCTGAAAGCTTAGGATAATTATTTTTTGCAGCCACATTAACTCCTATGATTAGCATCTTGATGGGGTTTTCATACCTATCTGAGTGATTCAGAGAGTCTAGGCAGTTGCTGCGAGTGCACATTTATCAAGGACAGATCTGGAACCATTTTTATTCGGCAGTTATTCACTCAAATATATTGTCAGTCTGCACTTAAGCTATGGATAGGGAAGAAAAAAATAGCTATTGGAGATCAGAAAAAAAGGTATGCTTTCAACAGACTAACTTTGATAGCTTAAGAAAATTTGCTATTAAGAAAAAAAAATCAGGTTTTCATCCTGCATGACCTGGGCTCACCTTCTATAAACTCAGTCTGAAGTATCTGAGAGATAACCATCTGAGGCATGTGGCATCAGATGATTCAGGAAGGATAATTTTTCTTTTTACTTGAGGAAACTCCAAAATGAGGAGCAAACTATGTGGATCAGAATCACCCGAACCTCATCAGTTTACACCACTTCCCTCTTAACCTTGTAGATTTGTCCTTGGTGTCAGGATGAAAAAAATTGCAGTTGACCTACTTTTTCTTACAATCCCAGACAACCCACATGCAGTAAACAAAAAAATTAAATCCCAGGAAGTTTTGGTTACACAATAAATTAGAAACCTCTAATGGTTCTCTGAGAACGACATCAGTGAAATTTTAAATACTGATGTTTACAATCCTGTGCCCATTTGTTCTTTTCCAGATCACAAAATAGCTGAGTTCTTTTGCATTGTATTTTTAGTTCTTCCTTAAACCGTTTCTCACCTAGAGCCTCTCTTTTTATCCCCCGGGGTTAAATAGAAGCTTCCTAGTGATCACAGCCAGTCTTCCTATGCAGCTCCCACTGTCGGCCAAAGGCAACACGATTGTCAACCAGAAAAGGGCACTAGCCAGAGAGTCAGTGTGATGATGGGATGTGCAGGACGGTTTGGTTCTTTGCTTCCAAATGTTCCCCTTGTCACATTTTCACTTGCATTTGTCAGAGGAGCAGACTGGATTATATAAATACTTTTGCTAATAAGAAGCCTTTTTTTTTTTACAGCACTATTTTAAAAATAGCTATTCAACACAACAATCTTAATTTTAATGCACCAAATTACAGTTTTCAACAATTGAAGTGAGCATGTCCTGTCACCCTCAGCACATGTTTGATAGACACTTGTTATATATATGGATACAGCAATATCCAGGCCTATGTTTGTCCACACACACACGGCGTGGAGCTACAGAGCCCTGCTTAACAGTGGGTTCTGAATTTATATTCCCTTCATTGTCACTGGACTTCTAACTTACTGGAATGTTCCTGTCAAAGCTTTGAAAGCCACGGAGATACCATTCTGTCCTCAGGACAGACCCTCTGCTCAGACGGGAGGACTGAGCTGGAGGCTGGAGGGGTGAGGTGTTCCCCACACAAGCAAACCCCAGTGCAGGGTGGCCAACTTCTCTCAGTGCCAAGGCTTCCGCTACTGGCAGACCCAAGAATTTTGTTTATTTAAATGACTGTTCATACGATTTAGATTCTATTTTTGTAAAACATAGATCTCCCCCCCACCAAAAAAAAAGTTCAATAAATAAAAGGACTTAGCCACGGAATCAAGGAAGCAGAACTCCAGTTTTTAACCTTCCAATGGGATTGGGGCTAGACCCGACCCACGTCAGTGTACTGCCGTTGGTCTTGCAGGAGGCGGGGCGCGATGACCCCGCAGGCGGCCCAGCCGAGTCTCTCTGGTCAGCAGCGACTCCCCACGGGTCATTGAATGAGGCTGGAGCTGTAGCTGAAGCCGTAGCTGCTGGACCGCGACAGGGGCTGCGGTGCCTCCTCGCTCTGCTCCCCTGAGTAGCTGGGAAACGTCTGCGCTCGGGACATCTTGGAGGAGCCAAACCCGTGACCTGGAGAGGAAGAAAGGGGAGTCTACATTGGCGCTGGATTGCTTAGGGCAGCACAATCCACAGCAGCCACGGTGTGGATCAACCCAAGTGCCCATCAGCCCATGGACGGGTTGACACCACGAGATACTATTCAGCCATTAAAAAGATGGAGACTTTACTCCTTTTGTATTTGCCTGGATGGATTCGAAGAACATTCTCAGTAAATTATCATGACAATGGAAAAGCAAGTACCCAGTGTACTCAACACTACCACGAAGCCAGTAGGGGAACAACTGCACACCCACAAGAGGGGAAAACAATTCAATTCAAGAGGTGTGGGGGGATGGTGAGCTCTGGCCGCACAGCACACCTCTGGGGTAAAGGGCTCAACTACAACTTGGACTTTACCTCACAAACCCAAACCACATAACCCATCAACTGTACCGTCATATTAATCTGAAATTAAAAAAGAAGAAAATAAATAAAAGGAGAGTCCTTGTAAGAAACAGATTCAGAAGAGCAGAAGGAAATGTTAGACAAGCAACAATGTAGGAGCCTTCAAATCCCCATGAGCCAGCTTGAGTCCAGCCAAGGAAACTGAGCCTTGGTTGCCTTGATTCGTGATCAATTAAAATTGGTTTTATTCAGAACGTCATAATTTCCCCAAATGCACCTTCAAAAATTCCAGATGCCAGAGAGTCAGGTAGATGTTTTAGGGGTCTCTAACTTCTATGATCCTTCGACTTTTGAAATAAAAGCTGAAAAGACTTTGCCCCCAAAAGCTGTTTTTGATGGAAAGCCTATGAGTAGCTTTATTTTCATTTATGCTCAATATCAGTGTATAAAAGCAAATTACATACTTTCTTCCCTCTGTGAACAGGTGAACTACACTCAATCCTAACCAGTAACCGTTGATTATTGGGAGAAAGCTTCTAGGGAGGTCCGGCTTATTATCCTGGTGGGTTTGTGTGGTGCCATGGCTGAACCCACTTCGTGATGCGGTGAACCAAGATGATGGAGCTTGGAGGTTACCACATAGCCTACAAAATGAATTCCATACAAAATATATTTAAAGAAAATTCTGACTATGCTTTTGTTCCTTCAGCTGCACCCCTGCCATGAGAAATTGCCTATCATTGCAAACCAGAAGAGAAGAGATTTCTGACAACCTGTCAGATGCTAGCAACACACGGTGACAAGTAGACATACTCAGCATTCAGAGGAACTTTCCTCATCCTATTTTAACCGGTCATTATTCTTCATACTTAAGAATAATTTGTATCTAATGGATGAGCTTAGGGGGAGAGAGAGAGAGAGAAGAGAAACAGATCATGTCATGTTTCAGATCATGTCTGAAACCCTTTCAGAGTTTATATTTTACCCAAAGGAAGAGATGTATTTAGTTTGATTTGTATTTCGTCTGATCACTAGGGCAAGGATTGAGCAGATGACAATGTGTTGACACAGAAACCTCGACTGCCTCATCCTCTGACTCCTCAGATGACCCTGTCCTTTGCAATGTCACATACTTAAAGCTAGTTTCATTGTCAGGTGCATTTGGTGACTTGGAAAATACCTTGCAGTGTGGGAAACTTAGGAGGCAGGGAGGAAACCCCAATAAATTGGGTAATTAAAACTGGTAGAACCCCTTAAATGTGTGTGTGTGTGAGAGAGAGAGAGCGCGATATCTTGTTTTCAGATAAAAATCATTTTAGATTCACTATTTGCCTGATTCTTTCATCTAGGACTCACCCAAACAGCAGATCAGAGAGGAAAAGGCTGGGCATTTCTGTCTGGGGTGAGGGTCCTCCTGCCCCACTCCCCTGTCTGGGCCAGCTCTAGTCCTGAGCTTTCAGAACCTTCTGCTCCCATAGCTCCTGCAGTCCCTTCTAAGGCTCTCCCCTCCCTCCCTCTCCTAGAGTCCAAAAGAGAGACAGCAGTGAGCACCAAGTGAAGGGTCCGCACAGTCAGTGCAATACAGAATCAGAGGGCACAGCCAGCAGAGTTGAGGAGAGCCGTGCTGTACTTAGCCCTCATAAATGACTTCCCTTCCATCAAGTGTGCAAGCCCCACCAGTACCATGGAGCTTAGAAACAGGCAACCTGAGTTCTACCAGACCTCATTTTGTGAGCCTCATTTTCTGCACAAGAACATATTTTCCTAAGGTTGTTGAGGATTGTAGGAAACAACACATAGGAAGACACCTAGGATGATAGGTGTGCCAGAAATGTGAGTTTTCTTCTTTCTTTCTACACCGAATGAGTCCGTATTCTTGTTATTCTTTTGGTTCAGTGCTTATACTTTCTCCACTATCTCAAGACACTGCCTATCACTGCTTTTATGGCTTGAATGTGTTTCCCGAAGTTCATGTGCTAGAAACTTAACTCACAATGCAGAGGTGTTGGTCAATGGGGCCTGATAAGAAGTGATTAAGTCACAAATGGATTAATGTCATTATCATGTGAGCAGATCACGTATCACAGAAGTGGGTTCGCATGAAAGCAAGGTCTGTCCCCTCTTACCCTCTAGCCCGTCTGCTTTCCACTATGGGGTGACCCAGCAGAAGGCCCTCAACAGATAGGAGCCCCTCTGCCTAGACTGTAAAAAATTTGGTTCTTTTCTTATTAATTATCCAGTGTGTGGTGTTCTGTTATAGCAACACAAAAAAAGGACTAAGATGCTAATGTGACAGACTTTGAATATTTTTCTCTTTCAAGGTCAACATGGTTTTCTTCACCTCCTCTAAGAATAATTTTTAGTCTAATTAGAAATTAAATAACAATTTTTCTTATTGTAGACATTTCTTTGCCAACAGTGCACAAATGATGCTATTAAGTGCTTATCATAAAACTAACATACTTCAATCAGAACTGTATATATGAAGGTTTTATGAGGGCTATTTGATTTTGGCAATAATTAGTGTAAGAAAAAAAGAAATAATTAAGCATTTTCTCAATATTCATTTGAAGTATACCCTTAGGCACTGTTGATGAAAGTGGAATAAAATAAAAATCAACATAGTAGCTTAAATTAAAAGCCTAATGCAACAGACCTATTCATCCCATTATTCAAGGACTCCAGCTAAAAGATTCCTAAACTTTCCATCCAGATTATACCCTAAAGGATAAATAAGGTTGGGATGTACCCTACGGATCCAGGGTATGCTACAATTTAAAAGCCATACATTTGTTAATCACTATTAGTCTATTTAAAAAGTCCTCTTGAGTTTTTTTTGATTTCTAATCTATTGTGTACTCATGGTTGTATTAATAGAAAATAATATTTTCTACTCATATATTCAAGTTGTTTTGACAGTCTTGGGAAAAACATACTCTGTTTACCTCGTGGTTCATGAATACTCTGGAATGACACTCATACCCCTCCCCCATCACCTTCTCCCCATGGTATAGATACATGTTCTAGAAACATAGTCCCATTCCATAAATAAAGAAATATATTGGATATAGAGGCATTTAAAACATTTGCTTTATCCCACCAAGTTATATGACACCCCCCAATTTGGAGCTTAAGTGTTTCATACAGTAGTGACGGCAAAACCACTCTAGTCTTGAAAAGAAACTTCCCTGCTGTATCACAAGATTCCGAATATAGGAGGAACACAAATAAATTTGAAAATAACAACCAAATTAGAATCCAAGACCAGAGATTCGCATCATGTATAGAAGAAAAAATGAGAGTGGCAACTCAGGATGAATATCCTCTTTCCCAAGAAATTGAGAAGTGCGTGGTCCAGTACTGAGCTACCCCTCAGTATCCCCTATGGCCCAGCCTCTGCTTTTTTCTATTCTTATCAACACTGATTTTATTCTTGATATGTAATATAAAGGAAAATTATTTTTTGTAAGAAGTAAGAATCCCGTGGCACCTGTGGCTCAAAGGAGTAGGGCGCCAGCCCCACATGCCGGAGGTGGTGGGTTCAAACCCAGCCCCAGTCAAAAAAACTGCAAAAAAAAAAAAGTAAGAATCCTAAAGCATAAAACTTGTATTAGTTGGTAGAGGCCATGGGCCCAGTAAAGCTATTTAATGATTTAAATTTAAGTGTTGTATTAGTTGTTAGAATTCAGGGGAGATGAAAAGGTATTGCCCCTTGAAATAACAAAATAAAAAAAAAAAAGCAAAATATAAAGTTATCTCACAAGGAAGGGAGCCCTCTGGAGCAAAAGCATTAACAGGAACGAGGCCTAAAAAAATTTTGACATCTTCTAACCATAAGAGGGAGATGGCAGGGCAGGCTGCAGGTTCAGGCCTGAGTGGTGGAGGATAGAATGGAAGGAAGAACTCAGGTGCAGAACAGAGATCAGAGGTCTCACTACAGTGAATTGAAAGCCAGGAGTTTTCTATGGTGTGTTTAACACTTGTATGTTAAGCTTGCAGTTAGGAAAATGTTGAAACTGAACCAGAAGTAGAAGGGACCCACGGTGGTCTCTTATGGGTAAGAGGATTACTGTACATATACTTTTAACTGTTATATCATAGTTGTGCATATTTGGGAGGTACATGTGATGTTTTAATACATGTATACAATGTGTAATGTTCAAGTCAGAGCATGTGGGATAGTCATTACCTCAAACATTTATCTTTTCTTTGCATTGAGAAAATTACAATTCTTCTAGCTATTTTTAAATAAGCAATATATTATTAACTATAATTTCCTTACCGTTCAATTTAATACTAGGACTTATTCCTTCTATCTATCTGTATTTTTGTGCCCATTAATCACCTGCCCTTCAGCCCCCCTTTCCCTTCCCAGTCTCTGGTAACTATCCTCATACTCCCCACCTCCATGAGATCCACGTTTTCTGCTCTAGTATTTCAATGAGAACTTGCAACACCTGTAATTTGTCTTTCTGTCCCGGGCTTATTTCACTTAATGTAATGACCTCCAGTTCCATCCATTTTATGGGAAATGACAAGCTTTCATTCTTTTTTATGGCTGAAATATATGTTATTGTGTATAAACACCACAGTTTCTTTATTCATTCATCCATTGATGGACAATT